CCCATAGGCTGCTCATATTAGTGCATATTAATGAGCCCCTCCGGTATTGGGGTTACTCACTGTAGCCCATGCCCTGCAGGAAGTTCTTGATGGCCTCAGTCAGCCGGCTGGGCTGGGGGGAGGGGCATGGTCAGCACTGACCACCGAATGTTCCCTGGGTGACCACTCCCACCCCCCACACCCACTGACCCCTGCCGTCACCTCTGGCCCCTCACCTGGGCAATCCGTGGCTGCCCGCCGCCGTCGGCCATCTGCAAGAGAGGTCGTCGAGTGACCATCGAGTGGTCACTCGGTGGTCACTCGGTGGTCACTCAGTGGTCACTCGGTGGTCATCAGGAAGTCAAACGTCACCTTCAGGAAGGATGTTTGTGTCGGGTCCAGTTTGGCGTTGCACTCCACCTTGGGGGAGGGGCCCAGGGGGGTCAAGGGATCAGGGTGGTGTCAGGTGACCACACCTTGAGTGACCACGACCCCCCACACACCACCCCTCCCCCACTCACCACGGCGTCCTCGTGGGGGGAGTTGTCACCGACCACCAGCAGGACCAGGCAGCTGGGACAGGGGTCAAGGGGTCACTCAGGTGTCAGGGGTCTTTGAGGGGTCACTCAGGCAGCAAGGGAGCAAGAGATATACAGGTCACAGATGCAGAGTCTTGGGTTTCAGGGCAAAAAACCCAAAGTTTTCAGTCTTAAGCATCTGCCACTACGTAACCATTGACAGCAAACACGGCTTCGGTCTTGGGGAGACACGGAGAGTGGGAGAGTCAGAGATTTTACAGATCCTGGTCTCACCTCAGCCTTTCAGCACAGTCTGCAGGGAGAGGAAAGAAAATGGATCAGAACAGACAGCCTGCTTCCAGAAAATCATCATCATCACCATCATTCATAAAGCATTAAGTAGAGCCGTAAGAACTTCCCCTGGGAGGTTTTCTAGACCTCCGGGTGCTCTTAGGCACACACACTGTGGGCTTATGTTCTTTTTTAAAAAGCAAAGCAACTAATAGTTGGTATAAAGTTATTTATTGTAGAAGCACATCAGTCTCAAAGGCAAAAACAAAGCAAAGCAATAGCATTAGCACGACATAAAAACAAGTAATAAAAGTAATAGAAAAATGCAAGTGGCAAACTGCAATAACAAAATGCACGTGGCATAAAGCCATGGCATAGAGCTCCAGCTCTCCCTGGTGTAGGTTTTTTTATAAAAGCTTTTTAATTAGCCAAGACACAAACTTAGACCGCTACTTATTAAAATTTTAATATTAAATTTTAATATTAAAATTACTTACTAAAATTTTAGTTTTTTAACACACCAAGCTACGTATAAACTATGTACATGGCTTATCTTGTTTTAACTAAAAAATGTAAGCAATCTTTTTAACTTTATTATGTCTGAAACTAAGTTCTTCAATCCTCTAAAAAACACTAATACGTTTTTTAACCTTTATTAGAACATGTACTACTTCTCAGGCATCTAAGACTTTTTACTCACTAAAAGCACTTAACATTTATTCCATTTACTTTCTCACACACTCCATTTACTCACTCATTTTATTTAAAGGCTTCAATTCAATCCCTGCATTCTGATCTCTCTTTAAAAATATCAGAGAGACTCCGGACCCACTAACTTCAACATTCCGCAAAGGTTCATTTCCCTGTGCACTGAGCCCCCCTGCTCCATCCTTTACCCCTTTTATAGCCAAGGCCACACCCAGGACACAGAAGGCGGCTCCCGGGTGCCTCCTGAGACCCGAATCGGTCCAGGTGGGTCAGGGCATTTCCTTCTTCCAGTTCTAAAATTCACGTGCTTGCCTGGAGAAAAGCAACCATTTCTCACATGTGTACACTTCCTTTTCACTGGACACAGGAGCAGAGCTGGGGACATGGAACAGAGATGTTAGCAATTCCCCCACACCAGTGTCAGAAGGAACTCAGCTGCTGAGTCTCCTTAGGGAGCCAGCTCCGAACCACAGTCTGCTGCCCTCCATGTGCACGTTTACAACTAGAGGTGCTTCTTGTCGCCACCAAATCTAGTCCTTTCTATCAAATGTAGACTTAAACCATATATTTCATAGCTTAACAAAGGCAAGAACCCGCTAATACGCCATCTCCAGCTTGATAAACATTGGGGTATTCAACATGTACAGCAGCAAGTTCCGTCCCCTGTACTGCAGCTCCCGGAGCGAGGTGAAACGCCGCCTTGCCCGTTCTGTGCCCCTGCCGAGGACAGCGACCGCAAGGCGCTGCCGCCTGCGCGGCTCCATCCGTAGGCGGCCCCCGCCACTCGGGGCTTCTGCGCCGCTGCGGGTTTCTTAGCTGGAATTCTGGTCAGCAGCTGGCACGGGCGAGCAAGCCGTGGCGTATGCGCGACATCGCCGGCGGCAGTGCCCTGCAGCGGGTGACAGCCGCGAGCTGCGCGTCCCCCCGAGCAGCTCCGCTCCCGCACGGGTTTCTCGGGCGCGGCACTGAATGTGAACCGTACACGAGCATCTGTCTCTGCTGTCAAAGGTGGTTGAACCGATCACTTCTATGTAGCAATATACGCAGTCGATACGCAAATTTTCAAGGTATCCTAAATTTCTGAGTGATCTTCATAAATAACTTACAGTTCTGAAGGATAAAGGTATGGATTGCACGGCAGGAGCAAGTGTGCATTTATTCTGTGTCACAGCATTACAGCATTATAGCACAATAGGGAGAGAATTAAAACGCTATTTCCACTGTGATTCCACTGAAGGTTTCTTCATATCCTTTGGTTTTTGCACTCCAAGCAAACATCACATTCAATTATCTGATTGTAAACATTGCTATTCCAAGGAAACCACTATGAAATCTACCAATAAATTAAGTCCCCGTTCAAGCTTTTTACAACACAGTTGCTGCAGTTGCCCCACCTTTTGGAAAACTTACATGTTGACATTTAAAACATCAAAAGAAGTTTTAAAAAAATATACAACTGCACAACAGCTTTAAAGAAGAAAGTCAAGTGAAGGAATTTAGTATCTACTTTGTTCCATATGTACAAATAAAGAACTGTGACTCAAATAATTACAGCATGAAAAAAAAAAGCAGTGAACTATTATCAATAAACAAAGACATCTTTGAGAATCCATCTTTTAATAGAAAGTGCTTAAATTATATTCCTAAAACAATGCTGTGAGCAGCACAGTAATAGGCTGACAGGTATCTTGCTATCTTTTTTTTTCATATAAAAAACTCAGAAAAAAACCCCATGCATTAACAGTAAAGGAGTAGACGAAAAGATAAAGTCATCAGCAAAGGGTTTTCCAACTACTATATGATGCACAGTAGAGAAATATCCAAACAACTACCCTGCTCCACCTCCCCACATCTCTCAAAAATGTCTCAGTGCTTTGGATTAAATGATGACCAACTGAATTGATTTTGTTGTCTTGGCAACACCAAATCCAATGTCAGATCTCTTTGTTCTTTTTCTGAATCCACCAGCTGATAACCAAGAATGTTTATAGCACCTTTGCAAACTTCCTGTATTTTCCTAACTTTCTGAAAGGAAAGAACATTTCTCCAGGCCTGTGAAACACTGACTGCATCTCGAGATGTTATTTTGAAGGCTTCTTTTTTTTTTCCTGGTCCCTGTCCATGTGTGATATTATAGATCCAGCTTTTGAGTCTGGGAGTCAAACTAAGATCTGCAAATTTATACATTTCTGAGATTTCTGACAACGGATCTCTTACCAGATCTTCAAAACGGACCATTAAATAGCGATCTTTCAGGAAATTAGGTGGTTTTAGAGTAGCTGTTTCATAAATCTGAACATGACTTCTACATACCTCTTGCATTACTTTGTATTTACTATCTTCCACTTTTGTGCCATTGGTACTCAAGACAATTCCGTTGTCACGGGCTAATGCTTTGACTGATTGTTCCCGTGACTTAACAACTGCCCTAGGGTCACGGACCAGGTGAATAATTTTGAGATTCAGGGATGGATCAGTGAGAAGGGGGTATAGGACCTTCAAGTCAAAGAATCGAACTTCCTTGATGACAACATGGCTGTAAGTTTTACAGGCTTCCTCTACCTTGCTGAATGGGTACCGTCCACAAAGAGTCTTGCATGCCAATTCACTGGTTATGTCAGTACGTTGAAAAGAGTCACAAGCAGGAGCTGAACACAGAGCCCGACTTGCAGCCCACTGGAAAAGATCAGATAAGTTTCTTTTCCAAGGCATGTAAGCCTCAAACACAGACATGTCACACAGAAAGACCGACCTGACTAAGTCCCGCACTGCCATGTGTAAGACTTTGGCACTGTTCTGGTACATTGTAACCCACACGTGCCATGCAGGCTCCATCAGGTAGAAAACGCTGGGGTGCTGGCTGAAAAGTTGACCAACAAAAGAAGACCCCGACCGCCAAGAGGAGAGAATAAGTATGTGGACTTGTGATGGTTTCTCCTCAGATTGAGGCACGAAGCTACTGTACCGGGCATACATGAAGAGTAAGAATCCAGTCTGAACTGTAACAAAAATTATAACAATTGTGCCAGGAATCCGAATCCTTGCCATTCTCACTGAGGAAGGGCAACGAGAAAAGCTGAAAAACAGAAGGGAAATACTAGTGAACCATTGCTCCTATGGCACAATAACGATACAACTTAGACAATACGAACTCTTGCATTAGTAAAACCTTTCTTCAAATGTGCATGTATGTATGCAGCATTAACTGCTTCCTTAATCAATTGCACTGGGGGATGATCACTGCAGGTGACAGCTGTGGGAAACCCAATGGAAGTAATGTATGACAATAAGACCACTGCAGAACTAAGCAAATAAGTAAATGTTTGATGTTGAAGAAAAACTTGGGTTGATGCCACTCAACCCTTGGATTAAAAAAACAAAAAAACCCCAAAAAACCAAAAAAACCAAAAAAACCCCCCAAACCAAACCAAATTTAAAAATCACAACAAAACAAAACAAAACAAACAAACAAACAAACAAACAACAACAACAACAAAAAAACCCACCAAAACTACAAAATACACAAGGCCCTCAACTTGAATACTGGTAAATATTGTCCTCAAAAAAGAAGAAGGAAAAAAAATTCCGAATCGCTCAACTGTATTTATGTTTCAATTTAACATTACAAGGATTTCTGTCCCCTGAAAGGAGTGGATGTGAACATTGGTAACTGTGGGTGCTGAAATAAAAATAATCTTATTTAATGTGAGTGCTGTACCCTACAGTGGTCATAGGGTGCTATACCAATTGGTGCTTGTCCATAATCCTGTTTTCCAAACTGCAGAAGATAGATGAAAACTCACAACCTGAAGCCACACCTAGCCACAGAAGATAAAATGAAAAAGCTGCTGACACATATCTTTGGTCTGGAGTGCATGGAGTTTGCATTCAAGGAATAACAAGTTTGGGAGCTAGATTCATCTGCATATAACTCCTAGAAAATCTTAGGCATGTCAACCCCAAATGGATTTCTGCTTTACTTTGCAGTCAAAGTTCAAGACATGCATTCCTCACAGCTTTTCACTAGAATTTTTTGGAACCTACCCTTTT